CATTTTCTTGATCCATTCATCCACTGACAGATAACCTAGATTGATTGTATAACTTGGCTATTGTTAATTGTGCTATGATAGATATAGGTATGCAGTTGATAGATATAGGTATGCAGTATCTATATAGTATGCTGACCTAAATCTTTCTGTTCCCCTAGTACTTCTGTATGAATTGTAGGATCAGCTTTTCCATTTCTGGAAAAAAAAAAAAAAGACAGTTGGAATTCTCATAGGCATCACATTGGATTTGCACATTAATTTGGGAGTTATTGTCCTCGAACAGTTAAATCTCCCAATCCATGAACCATAGATCATCCCATTTGTTTAAGTTTTCTTTAATTTCCACCAACATTGTTTTGTAGCTTTCCATCTACCTGTGTCACATTTTTTATTCTTTTTGATCCTACTGTAAATTGAATTATTATCTTAATTTCACTTTGGGGCTGGAGAAGTCTTTACAGCTAACGGTCTGAATTGGGAGAAGCAGAGATAAGCAATTAACACCTACAGTAAAACAAGTCTGAACACAGAGAAAAGTAGAAATGACAGATTCCAAGGAAGGAAGGTGTAGAGGAGGAGAAGGAAAGAGGAAGGGAGAGTTTGAGGATGGTGCTGCAGACACATGTGTACAGAAATTAGAAATCAAATTGTGTTTCACTTGAATGTGAAATTTACATCAAGGTTCCTGAGGTGCGACAGGAGTATCTGAGGAGAGACAACAGCATGGGGACAAAGAAAATATGAGCAGGCACTAAAGGAGCCTATCCGAAGCAAAGGGACTCTGAGCCAGATGGCAACACGTTTGCACAACTTCCTTCCCACGGCAACTGGTGTGCTCAGAAGCTAGCAGAAAGCTTTCAGAATACTTTGTGTGTATGTCTTCAGAATGAGCCAAACTTGCACTCTGCAAGATCAGACATGCCCAACCAAGACTGTTCATGTTGAGAACTAATCCCAGCGCCTCTGTGCTGCCATACCTGTGCCAAAGGGCTCTACCTGTGGACACTGTGGCACTTAGACGTGGTCAACTAGGGACATAGTTTCTTCATGCTCCGATGAAAGATGCCATACTTCCATGACATATTTCCATGGCACGTTCCTAATGCCACCTGCAGTTTTGTTGTGGGAGACCCGATTGGTATGTGCAGTTGGTATGTGGGGGACCCGGTTGATACGTGCTATGGTTTGGGTACATCCCTTGGAATTCATGCACTGGAGACAATATTAAGTCACAAGTTAATATTATTTGGAGATGACCCTCTGGGATGTAATTAAGGTTAAATGAGGACATAGAGCGCTAGTCCAGTGGGACAGTAGCTTTATAAAAAGAGGAGATACCTGAGCTAGGATGTTCTGTATCATCATGTGATGCCATGTGCCCCTTTGGGACTCTGCTCCTTGTGGGCCTAGCCCACACCAATCATCAAAACAGTTTGCTCCTGTAAGTACAGACACAGCTCATACTCACAAGGTACCCCGAGTGGCATTCCCCCTATCTTGCTGCACCACTGTGCTGTTAAGATAGCTCCCCTGCTTTCTCTGTATTTGCCATACTTAAAATAAACCTTTGCTTTGCACTATGCCAGTCTTGACTCCCCATCTCTCACTAAGAGCACCAGCACTCTATTTTTTACTGGACTGAAGGCAAGGAGCCGAAGAAAGGTGGAGGGTCATTACAGGGGACTCCTAGGCCCCCTGCTCACAGGCCCCCCCACCCCTGTTGGATGCAACAAAGACAAAAATCTCAATCTCTCTCTCTCTCTCTCTCTCTCTCTCTCTGATTATTGAAAATGATTTCAAAAGGAAACAGAATTTCTGTCATCTTCACAATTTCTCAAAGTATGGTTTTCCAAATTCCTTTAAAAGAGAAATTTATGAAACTTGGATATTAAAATGAAGGGCAGAGTAAAGGTTATTGCCTTGGTTACTTTCCTTTCGTTGCTGAGACAAAATACCTGACACCCAGAATTAAGGAAGGAAAGGTTTATTTAGCTCACAGTTTGTAGAAATGTGAGTCTGTCCATTATCAGCTGGCTCCAAGGCAGAGTTGTACACGGCACAGGAGAAACAGTTCATGGCAGCAGAAGACAGCAAAACCAACAAGAGCAAAAGGGGAGGAGGGAGAGAGGAAGTCTCTTTCCCTCCCTTATACTGTATGCAGGCTCCTGCCCCAGGGCAGGAGTAGCACTCACACCCATAATCCCAGCATTGGACCATGGATTAATCAAAAACTCTAGAAGCCCGCCCCATAGCTGCATGAGGCTTTGGGGGGACATCTAGACACAAACCATAACATTTATAAAAGCTATGCTTTTGATTTTGCAAAAATGGATCACACATACACACACACACAAAAAAAAAAAAAAAAAACTAGCTTCTAGTTTCAGTTTCAGTATCACATCTTCAGATTGGTCTTTCCTGACCATCATGTTTGTGTTAAGACTTTCTGAAACAACTTAGTAGTAGTAGGAGATGACTGGCCCCAAAATGTTATGAGACCACGAAGGAGAGGCAGGCAGATCCAGGCGGATTCTTGCAAGTTGGGTAGAAAAAAAGGAATACATATGGCTTAGGATAAAAGTGACTTCATCCTGGCTGGAATGTAACTGTTTTGTCTTAGTATAGAAGAGTCAGGCACATTCCCAGTTCTAGGTCCCATTGTAAAGCTCCACATACCACTCCAGTGGTTCTGCGTATTTGTGGTTTGTTGGGAACGTGCAAGAAAAACAGACCAGGGTTACTCTGGTACAAGCATACCAGTCATGATTCAAGATGGCCACGGTCATGTCAAGGTGAATCCACACAGAAGTCACCCTAACTCTGCTGTTCTACACTACTTCACTGTTAAATTTCCTCTACTGCAGTTATTACACTGAGTAATTACTTTAACTGCCTGTCCCTACTTCGTGAGGATAGGGTCAGGTTCATATTTATTGCCAGCCTAGTATAGGCCCTGGCTTATACCCGGCAGTTAAGAAACTTTCCGTTGAATGAGGACCAAGGAAGAAGCAGGCTGTGGAAAAAGACCTTTCGGAGGGCTGGCTTGCAGCGTCCACAAAAAACTCTCCAGCAAGCAGCAAGGCTGGAGATCTGGACGTCCCTATATAAGGCCCTGTCAAGGTTCTGGCGTGGTCAAACAAGGCTGCCTTGCCAGAGAATTACCACGAGCACTTAGGCATGCACAGCGCAGAGACCTCGCCTCCTCTGACACCCACCGGATCAGAGCCTCTGGGATTGTGAGTCTCAGAGCCCAGGAATCTGCGTGGGCAACAAGTCCTCAGGCGACTCTGAAGCACCTGGACGCACAGAGGCGCGTGCAACGTGGGGCGGAGAAGGGCTGAGAAAGTGACTCCAGCAGGATAGGGTTAAAGGCACAAAGCCAAGGAAGCAGCTGGACTGGAGCTCAGCTACCCGCTGGCGCCCAGCCCCGCGATCTTTGGCCACACTTGGCCTTCTGCCGCGCGGGACCCGCCCCACCCTCCGATTGGCTGCATCCTCCGGTCTCGGCCAATGGGATCGGCACGAGCCGGAAGCCGGAACCGGAACCGGAAGCGCGGAGCGGCGGTGCTGCCGGCTTTTGCCTTGGGCTGCTGTCCCCCCGGCGTCATGCGAGGCTTCGGGCCAGGCCTGACCGCGCGGAATCTCCTCCCGCTGCGGTTTGCCCCGCGGCCGCCGCGGCCGCCAGGGCCGCTGCTGTCGAGCAGGCCGGCGGCGGGGGCGAGCTCCCTGACGCGGGCCATGGACGACCTGCTTCGCCGCGCCGTGCCGCCGACGCCGGCCTACGAGCTGCGTGAGAAGACGCCGGCGCCCGCCGAGGGCCAGTGCGCCGACTTCGTGAGCTTCTACGGCGGCCTGACCGAGGCGGCCCAGCGCGCCGAGCTGCTGGGCCGCCTGGCGCAGGGCTTCGGCGTGGACCACGGCCAGGTGGCCGAGCAGAGCGCCGGCGTGCTCCAGCTGCGAGAGCAGCCGCGGGAGGCGGCCGTGCTGCTGCAGGCGGAGGACCGGCTGCGCTACGCGCTGGTGCCGCGTTACCGCGGCCTCTTCCACCACATCAGCAAGCTGGACGGCGGGGTGCGCTTCCTGGTGCGGCTGCGGGCCGACCTGCTCGAGGCGCAGGCGCTCAAGCTGGTGGAGGGGCCGCACGTCCGGGTAAGGACGGGCCACCGCACGCAGGGCTCCCCCGCCCCCAAGACGGCCGCACCGCCTCCCCTCCCCTGCGTGGCGGTGCCCTCCTTGCCCGCTTCCCGAGGCCTTGTCTAGGCCCAGCGCGCCCCTGCCGCCCTCCAGCCTCACCTTGCAAGACCCACGTGTACAGTATTTACTAAACAGTGGCCAACAGCACCCGCCTACCCCTAAGGTGACTGTCAGGCCTGTTAGCGTGCTCTATAAAGTCTTTTTGTGTTGTTAATTGAGGTATGCCTGTGCAGGTATGAACAAAAGCAGTCTCTAAAAACCTGGCTGATGTCAGCCTGTTAATTGGGCAGCCACTGTGTAAAATGACGTCCTAGGAAGTCCGGTGAAACGCCCACAGGTGACTAGCACTTAAGGTCACTACCGCCTAAGAGTGTCATTGCCTTCCGGCCTTTTTTCCGCTTCGAAATTTGGGGACAGGTTATTTTAATTCCCTGAGCTCTGCCCTAAAAGTGGGGACTTGGGGTTTTCTTCTTGAGGGAGCCAGGTGCTTAGCACTGTGAATTCGTGCTAGAGACACAAATTCTTTGAGATTTAAGTGACTATAACCTGAAAGATGGCCTAGAGTTACACGTAGGCCCTTTGTAATCGTCTAAAATGGGGAAGGAACATCAGTGTGCCCTTTTAGTGAGTGAAAATGATAGTGAATGTTTCGGAAGGTTTCTGACACTCAGGACTTTATAATGTGCTCTTGAAGAATTTAACAGCCGAATGATGACCTCCGAAATCATTTAAGAGCTGTAGAACTGGCCGTTAACAGTCTTTGCTTCTGTTCACGCAGTCTCAGGAAGGTAATACACGTATCCTCTCGTAGTCAAGGAGATCAAAACTGAGGTTGTGGGACTCGTCCAAGAACGCAGATGTGTTTCTGATTACCCACCCACTCCAGCGTCCTGTACACCATTGCGCTTTTCAAGCTAACGGTTTTATCAGAGACATCTTTTTTTAACTGTTTAGCCTCAGATGCATAAAAATTGAGTGTAGTTGCAAATCAGAGTGATAACTGGCTATAACAGTTCCGTTTCTCATGCTAGCTTGTTCATTTCTAATGCTAAGCATAACTTAGGACCACAGACCTTTGGCCATAAGAGTCCCAGACTGAAAAGACCCGGCTGTCCCAGACTGTCCCAGACTCCGTCATAGGTTCTTACTGTGTTGACTGTTCCAGGTTCAAGGGCAGTCTTGAGCAGCTGAACTGTGTTCCACACTGTGCATTGTAGATCCATAAAAGCCAGACTAGATGACTGGTTTTATGAAACCTGGAGCCCTGCCTTAAATTTTTTGCATGGCAAAATGATAAATGAATCTTTGAAATAGACTTAAAGTGTCCTGGCCTGAGATAGACTTGGGACACTCATGACTCACAGTTGTCTGGCTGTCAGACTGCTCCCTGTGCTATCTCAGAGTTCTGAGCCCACAGGGAAGCGAAGAAGGGCTAGAAAGTCGTCATAACCATTTGGACAGCTTGGCTCTGGGTGATGCTGAGGTCCCGTCCACATCCGATTTTTCCGATTCTGCACAGAACACACCCCCTTGCTCGTTCCCACAGGAGAAAATGCATGGTATCACATGGTGCACAAGGAACAGCTCAGTGCCTGACTGCTCCAGCACTGAAACTTGACCTTGTGGGAGGAGCCAGCTTCTGGGAAATCCAGGGAAGGCTAAGTACAGACAATTGCTGTTTCCTTAGTTCATTCACCTAGGCTGTGCTACACCTGGCGGACTGTCAGGCCAGAAGTCACAAAAGGGAATAGAGAAATTGACTGAGGGCAGCATGAATACGGTACCTTGACCTTTGGCCCTCCACGTGGTTTGGACTTACTGGCCACAAGTTTTCTAGTGGCTGTGTTGTGTCCCTTCCGTTCTCCACCTAGAAACCCTAGCCTTAGGTCCAGCGCCTGTAACTTAGTAAAGTTTGTTCATTCCTTTCTCCTTCACTTCACATAGCTACATAATTTTATATCTCTGTCTTTTAAATCATTCTGAAAATTGTTTTTTCTATCTCTAGAAATTGACTACTGGAATTTGATCTTGTAGGAAGGTAATACACGTATCCTCTCGTATTACCAGAATCACTTAAGTACAGTCTTTAAAAAAAGTAGATTTTAGCTTTTAGAATAGTTTTAGGTTCCCAGCAAAACTGAACAGGAAAGACAGATTTCCCAGATATCCCCACGCTCTGGTATGCACAGCCTCCTGCATTACTGTGCCCGCCCTCAACATCTGCTGCAGCTGGTACACGTCGTTGTCACTTGGAGTCCATAGTGGACGTGAGAGTTCACTCTTGGTGTTGGACGTTCTGTAGGTTTAGTTTACAGTCTATTCTCATTCTTTTACTTCGGATTTTGTGTCATGTTAAAGAAACAACTCAGCTAAAACATTTTGCTTTTAGGGATTCAATGTTAAAACTTCTAGAAGTTTGGTACAGGAGGCTTCAGAGTAGGACCCTGGACACCCAAGGGCTTTCTTAAGTGCTTAGTACTTGGGGGGGGAATCACTCCTGGGTTACCCCAGGTCTCCGCCTTCCTGATGTGTGGGCATGAATGGTGCCTTATCTCTGGGATGTGCTATTTGCCTGCCCCCAGATGACTTTTGAACTTGCTAGATGAGGTCAAGTGAAGGTGCCTTGGTCACTGGAGCTGCTGTGGGCTTGGTCCTGAGCCTTTCCTCTGCCGATACAGGTCCTCTTGCTGAACCCTGTGTGGTGCAGTAAGTGGGGAGAGCATGGCCTCAAGGTGGTGCTGGTTCTGTGTATTTTATGAGGCAATGAGTCCAATAGAGGAAACCTAGAATGGGAAGTGAGCAGGTCCCGTTTCCTTCTTGCCATCTGTTAAGAGATGTGATTTTCCAGTGATTTTAATCAAGTCACTTACCTCTGCTGGACCCATTGGCTCTGCACTGAGAGGAGAGATTCAGCTGATGGTCAGTGAGCTCAAGGTTAGCCTGGTTCTTTCCTAAGAGATTCCCTGAGGGGTTTATTGGTGCTTTTCTAAAAATACCATAAACAGAGGAGGCACAGTTTGTCACGCTCTTGCTCTCTAACCAGGGGTTGTGACTGTGGGAAATGAAAGAATCCATAAGACAGACATTTCCATTGCCCGGGCAGCTCAGCAAGAGGACTTGAGCCAAGTGGCCAGGCTGGGGATTATCTCTTTCCTTGGATATTTTAAATCGGATAGGGTTTCTTTTCTCTCCCTTAGAGATGCTTAATCCTTTGGATGCAAAGTTCAGAGTCAGTAGCAAATCTCCTTATGGAAGATAACAAGTCCTACTTTGAAAGTTTTTACAGTGTGGCAAAGAGCGAATGTCTGGTTGTGTTTTTCAACATAGAAAATCAATAGGTGAAGAAAGAAAAAGTGAACCTTGCCTGGCATTGTGGGGTTTTTTTGTTTTTGTTTTTTAATGTTAGAGGCATTGGGCTTCTTGGTTCATATGAGTACCAAGACTCTACTGCTATGGTGTAGATTTGTGGGACTCTTGAATTACTAGTGAACTGATCTTCATGGTGTGTTCCAGCAAAGAAATTTTAGTAATTAAGGAATTTGTAGAAAAGACATTTGATATCCTTGACCTCCATACCTGAGCCCTGCGTGGTGCAGTAAATACAGAACCCAACATGTTAGCCTGTAGAAGAGGGAATGGTGAATGAGTGAGTCAGTGTGGGCAGTGCTCAGAAACCCAGCTTCATCCCAGCGGAAATACTTCTTTTGGTTAGAAAACGCTCTTTGCTTTGGACAAAGGCCGGTGGGCTTAGAGGCCGGTTGGTACGCTTGTTATTTCTGCAAAACTAGTGGCTTTGCTTGTTCTTTTGTAGGATGCCCTTTGGCCTCAGATGGCTGCGAATTCAAATCCACAGCCAGCTGCACTTAGTTTCCGTATCTCCAAAATGCACTTAGAGTTGTATGGAGAGTAGTGTGAAGAGGTGACAACAAATGTCAGCCAGATGTGGCTCTTCAGCCGGAGGAGAAATGCTGATCGCTGCTGCCTCTGGACAGGGGCCCTGGGTGTGTCCAGTTGTGCCTGGCCTGCCCTCCTTCAGGGATGCATCTGCAGGTGTGTGGCAGGTATGTGCTGTAGGGCGAGACTTGTGTAGGATTTTTGGTCTTCACCATACACATTTCCGTTTGGTTGATGGCTTGAGTTTCTTTGACATAAAATCCCATTGAGACAGAGTTGAATCCCCAGGATAGTTGAAGGTCTAGATGCTGCCCAGCCTTGGCAGGTGCCTGGTGGAAGATGGCATTGAAATCACAGAGAGGTCTCTTGACAGGTAGTGGAAACGCAGGAATATGGTGAAGTGGGGGTACGCCAGCCTTGACGGAAGTATGGGAACCGGAGAAGGGAGTAAGCTCCATCAGACAGTCCCTTAAGTCAATACAGTGTTCCTGTATGTTCTCGTGAGGTCTGCTTAGCTATGTTAAATAAGAGTTTATTTTTAGATAGGAAAGCACACCCCACTGTGTAAAGCGCACACCTGGGAGGTGTGAGTTTCTGAGTCCTTGCACCACTCTTAGCAGTGGCTCCCTCCTCCCTTACCCGCTCAGGGCTCCTGAGTACTTTCTCTTCTTGCACCAAAGCTCAGCAGATCTTGAGAGCCAAGGGCTTGTTGGCTGTTTGTTTAAACAGTGTCATCCAGGAAAACTGCAGTTAGCAGTACAGAACAAACTGCCAGCGAAAGCCAACTTCAGCATCACCTGAATATTCCCAGCAGTTGCACTTTCCACCCTTGCATTGTTGACCAGCGATTGCAGAATTAATGAGTGAAAAACACAGACTTCATTCTCGCCTGCTGCTTGTGATGCCGTAATCTTGCATGCTATGGTGAGTGCCAGCCTAGACAGCTGTCATCAAGTGCTAGCACTGGTCAGTGGGCGTCTGACCCTTAGCCTAGATTCCTGGCTGTTGGGTCCAGCATCACATGCCTTAGCTGTCAGCAGCCTAGAATAGAAGGACGAGACTTTAAGAGGAGAACTCCTCATCAGCCCATTTCTTCTATAATTCATACTGAGTTCATACTGAAATAGGCTTTTCCTGCTTTTTCTTATCGTGCATGTAATAGGGCTGTAGTGTTTCTTCTGCAGTAGAACTGAGCTAGCCTATTCCTGACCTTTCAGTGCAGAAGTTCTTCACTTGTCCTCCTTGAGCACCAGGAAATCCTATGCAACATTTTATTAACATGTTGGCATTCGGGGGGGAAGGGCTGTGATTTTTAGCACAAACTTGAATGTGAGGATCCTAGGATTAAGAACCATTGTCATCCAGTGCGGAACACAGTTTTTTAAAGAACCATTCTGTATTCCCTAGCAAGTGATCAGATGATCTCTCTCATCCTCCTGGCCTGCTACTCCTGATCACCACTCCTTCCTTTTTATTTTCATTTGATGTCAGTCCACTAATGAATGCTTTGGAAATGAGAAATGGAGCAGAAATGAACTTTGCCCCTACAGAGCTCACACTGAGTAAAGGAGATTAAGTAGGGAATCTGGAGTTGGAGGGACTGCAAAGATTTTCCAGCCCAGCCGCCTACCCAGTGCTAAGTCCTTGCTCAGACAGCTCATACTGAGCTTGCGTCTGTCCTGTGCACTTCTCTGTGGACAGCACCTGCCCCAGGGAGCTCCCTTCTGGCATTACATCAAGTCCTCGAGTGTCTGTGACTTCCGCAGTTGGACCTAGATTTGTCCTCCCCCACCCTCACAGGGTCACAGAGAACAAAGAGGTGGCCTTCTCTGTGCCCTAGTACTTACAGATACAAAGATAGACATCATGTTCTGAAAAGTTCCCCAAGCCACCAACATGTACCTGTACCTTGCTCAGGTGACAGAGGTCTGAAGTTTTTCATCTTGTAACAGGGATTAAAATGTAAGTTGGTGCTATCAAGTGTTTACAGCTGTTATGAAACTGGACTTTATAGGTGATACCCGTCTCATCTTTTGTGAACCTTACACAGAGATTGAGAAGGTCCATTCAGAGCCAGGTGCACTGTTTACCATCATTTAATAATACTGTTCAGTGTATATGGTAGCATATAGCTCCCCTGTGAGCAACAGAAACCCAAAGTAAACAGTGGTTTGGCAAGTACAGGTTTGTCTCAAGTCAAAGGCTAAGGGTAGGCGGCCCTGTAGTATGCTCAGTGACTCAGGCTCCGGTATTATTCTGCCCCAAAAACCATCCTCAAAGTTATTTCATGGCCCCCTGGGGCTGATCCCATGCTAGCCATCCCGTCTTACACCAGCTACAGTGGAAAAGATGGCGAAGGGCATGCTTCTACAGTCTTTTGAGGGTCCTCAGAGCTGCCGTGGGACACTCTGCTTATACTTCTTCAACCAGATTTTGGTCACTCGCGGATGTGTAGTTTTTATTCTAACAGCCATGTGCCTGGCTGAAAAAAGAGGCTTCTGTTTACTTGGAGGGAAGGGAAAGCAGCTGCGGGACAACACCAGTCTGCTGTCCTCGGCACCCTCAGTGCTGTGGCCGGCGGCAGCCTTCCGCAGTTCCATGCTCAGCCACACGCTGTCCTGAGCACAGACGCTGCTCCACATGTACGTTTCGTTTGACTCGTGCCTGAAAGCTGTCAGTGGGAATGGGTCTTTGATGTCAGCGCGTGCATTTTTGGAAGTAAAGCAAAGTTAGAATAATTTCATCAAATCTGAAGTGCATTTTTTGCAAAATGCACTGTAATTTTATGTCCTCAAGTAACTTTAAAATACTGCCAATTAAGCTGTGACTCACTATCTTTACAAGATGTGCCCTGAGTTCAAAAATATTAAAATACAAAGATGTGGCATCTTCAAGGTGATAAGTGTTCCTGGACGAGTCCTTGTTTCTCTTGGGAAGCACAGGCATAATGCTGTGCCGTGTCAGAGAGCGCTCCAGCATGGGGAGAAGGCTTGTTGAGCCTGTGTAGTCTGCATTAGTGCTTCCTGTAAGATGCATCTTTCATCACTGTTTGTTTTGAGACAGGGTCTCATTAGGTAGCCCAGGTTGGCCTGGAATTCACAGTAATCCTCCTACCTCAGACTTCCTGAGTGCTTGGGTCACAGCTGTACACCACCCACCTAGCTATCCTATTACATATTTACTTAGATGCATATTGTATGATTTGGGCAACTTAACTCAACATGGACTTTCCCATTCAAATGTGTTACACACTTAAGTGGTGAAGTCTAAATAGAGAGCCAGTTAAGGCCTGGCTTGAAGTGTGAGCTCCCTAGAGGCGTCAGAGCAGGCTGCTGGAGGGTCATGGTGTAGTCTCTTGTATCACAGCTAAGCGTAGTAACCTGTTGTGCTTATGGTGATACAGAGATGGTTTTGGGCTGATGTATCTCAAAAGCCAACCCTGCATTTTTTTTTTGCAGGAGATGAATGGGGTGCTGAAAAGCATGCTCTCAGAATGGTTTTCTTCCGGGTTCCTGAACCTAGAAAGAGTCACCTGGCATTCACCATGTGAGGTGCTTCAGAAAATCAGTGAGTAAGTATGAAGGTTTTCTCTTCTTTATCTTGTAGCTAAAGGCCAATGTCCATCTGTGTGTACATTTTATTCTGACCTAACAAGTCAAACCGTGTTCACCAACGCGGTGGCTGCCATCTTGCCTGACACTGAGGTGGGGCGTGGTGCCCAGAGAGAAACTCACCTGTCTGTCGGTAACCCCAGGCCTTGTGTATGTCCTGTTTAAACAAACAGGCCCATTTACAGCTTTCCCAAGCCACATTATCAGAGTTGTATGAACTCATTGGACCAGGTTTTTGTATTAGTCATCAGGAGAGCATTTATTGCTGGGCGTTCTGCTGCACACCTGTAGTTCCAGAGCTCAGAAGCCTGCAGCAGGAGGATCACTGTAAGTTCAAAGCCAGCCTGAGCTATGGGCTACACAGTGAGTTCAAGGCCAGCCTAAACTACATAGTGAAACCCTGTCTCAAAATGCAAGGGAAAAGAAAAAACAGAAAAAGCATTTACCTCCTCTAGTTCGTACGTCTCCCTGGTGAGAATCTCAGTGAGCTGTGTTGCACATGATTGCAGCACGTCCAGGGCATTGCATCACACAGGCCCACACCTTGCAGTATCCGAGGCCAGAAAAAGTCTTGCTCTCTGGAGCACTGGTGATGATAGTGCCTACTGTCATCTCACATGCAGAAACAAAGTTGGGGGTGGGGAGACAAAGGGACCTGCGAGACAGCGTGTGCAGCGTGGGCGACCACTTCAAATGCAGGTATCCCAAGGAAAGACGGGAGCCATGCTGAGGCCCGCAGTTTGACTTTGCATTGAACCCGGGAGCCTCATGAGCCGCTCTGAGTCTGCTGTTAAGGGGAGCAGTTTTGTGTGTGAAATGGTCACAAATTACACTTTCTCTCAGTGCTGCTTCACATTAAAGTGATTTTCTTTGGGTTTTCCATAAGAGTCACTTAGAGCTGTACTGAAAGGACTTACTTGGCCTTCGTGGATAGTGCGCGTAGAAATCAGCAGATGTGATTTAACTTTACAAGTAAGTTGTGTGTTCGTCTTCTTTGTGTAATTCCTCGTCAGGTCTGAGGCTGTGCACCCTATAAAGAACTGGATGGATATGAAACAACGCGTTGGGCCCTACAGGCGATGTTACTTCTTTTCCCACTGTTCAACCCCCGGGGAGCCCCTGGTCATTTTGTATGTGGCGCTCACCAGTGACATCTCCAACAACATCCAGGTACCTGTGGACAGGCACTTCAGGACAAGACAGGCATCTCACAAAGGCTCTTCAGGTTTTGTTTTTTAGCTTGGTTTTTGTCTTGGTTACTTTTTCTCTTGTTGCTGAGACAAAATGCCCAAATTTAAGGAAGGAAAGGTTTATTTAGCTATTTCAGTCTATACTCGGCTGGCTCCAAGGCAGGGTGGCACATGGTAGAGGGCAGCCATTCATGGCAGCAGAAGATAGCAAAACCATAAGAGTAGAAAGGGAGGAGTGGCTGCAAGCAGCCTCTTTCTCTCCCTTACATATGCAAATGATCTGCCCCAGGGGCAGATGTAGCGCTCACACCCATAATCCCAGCATTGGACTATGGATCAATCAAATATCTAGAAGCCTGCCCCATGTCTGCATGAGGATTTGGGGGGACATGCAGACACAAACCATAACAGTTTTATTTTATTTTGTTTGCTGTTTGTTTTTGAGACAGGGTTTGTTGGTCAGGCTGGCCTTGAACTCACAGATCCTCCTGGCTTAGCCTTCCAGAGCACTGAGATTACAAGCGTGTCCCTCCAGGCCCGGCTTACCTTCTTTCTTAAAAATAGTTGCTTTGAATTTTCAGACTTTGTACTTGGGCTGGTAAAACCTGCAGACATGGAATCACAGAATGTAGAGATGAGCAGTGCAGGCAAGCCAGGCACAGGACAGCGTCCGCCTGGTGGTGCTGACTCAGCTGCACTCTGCTACACCAGGGGTCTGTGGCAGGACGTTTCTGTGACGGCAGGCGGTGATGCAGAAGAGACAGGACACATGGTTCCGTTTTCCAGCACATGCTAAGTGCCTGAGGGACTTTATAGGATGCTGACTTGCTGACTGAGAAGGTGACAGATGGGTACAGATCTGGTGGGTGGAGGTTGTGGGTGTGGTGGCCTTGGCTGGTCCCTCCTGGAGGAGCATGACAAGCCTGTCCAAACATTCAGGGCTCTAGGGCAGCACACACGGGAGAGCAGGTCTCGTGGGTGATCACAGTAGTGGATACAAGTGTGAGACCCTGGGCCAGAGTGGGTCTGCTCAGCCCCAGAGGATGGGGGGCCGGAATAGCCTGTGAGGAGGGGTGACAGGCCTTCCCAGGAGAGGTGTCCCGGGCAGAGTCTCTGCATCTGAGATGTCATGGTCATTGAGTAGGGCAAGCAGACAGGTGCCCCCAGTCACCAGGAGACTCCCTCAGAGGTTTGAAGTGTGAAGGGCAGTGGGACTGGAAGTTACCAGGACCCCTGAGAGGGCAGCTCGAGTGTGTTCCAGGGCGGGATGCCTTCCTCTGAGTGACCTGGAGACCCCACTCCAGAGTCCCGGCACGCAACGCTGCTTTCTGCAGAACACTCAGGAACCTTGCTGTCCCTCAGTGGAGGATGCTCGGGGAATGCTGTGTAGACATGCCTGCCACACACACACACACATACACACACACACACGATCTCTGTGTGTTTAAATAGTGGTGGGGGTTTATGTTTGACCTGGAAACCAACCTTGATTTATTGTGGAGTAACAATCCAGGTTACGGACAGTATTTGGGATATCTGTGGGGTGTACTCTTGTGTCCATCGGTCCATGGACTGCTCCATGCGAAGCATGAGCTAGGTACTAGTTATATTATATGGCCTCATTTTAGACATAAGAAAACTGCAGCTTAGGGAATATCTGTAATTTGCCCACAGTTATAGAGCAAGTAAAGATGGGACAGAGATTCAAACCTAGCTGCTGTCCTTGACCCCAAGCAGAAAGTGCTTTCCATTAGCTCTGGGCTAAGCAGCCCTCCGTCAGGAACCCAGTGTGGCTGACAGAAGTTAACGCTGCTTGGGTGTGTTCTACCAAAGCTAGCTGATGTCCCTGCCGCAGAGCAAGCTGAAAGGAGCCGCCTGCTAGTGCGCTGACAGTACTAGGGCTCCAGGGACCTGCCGGCAGGGTGAGCTGATGGAGTCAGGCTTCAGCAGATAACTTCCCAGCAGAAGTGTCTTCGTAGATTGTTTCATATGTGTGTCTGTGTGCTTTCATTTAGTAAAATACAGGATATTGGTACAAAATTTTTAAACTATAGAGAAGAGCCCTTAAAGGGTAAATTTTGAAAAACGAAAAATTACATTGGCCTACTGAGAAATTGGAAAAACTAACATTCAGAGACAGGAGCAAAAATGACTAAATAGTAGAGGATCTGGCCTTTGACAAAAATGTACAAACACCAGAACTCAGGTGGCTACATTGGCCCTGGCACAGGTTCGGTGCAGGAGGCACTTCGGAAGTGAATGCCAGTTTGTACGGAGGCCTGCAAGGGCAAAAAGGGGCTGCAGTGCCATTCAGCAGAGCTTGCACAAGAGTTTCACAATGAAGGAAATGGGCACACTGAGCAGGCACTGCAGAAGGGTTGTGAAATGGTCACTTGTGAGAATTTTCAGGACAGCAGAGAGAATGGCAGCCTAAACCACTAACCTCTGAGAGGCACCCTACGGCCAGTGGCGGGGGTGGGGTGAGCGGGAGAGCATCCTGCCCACCAGGGACCCCTGGTTCGTGTGTCCCAGGCCATCGTGAAGGAGCAGCCCCCGTCAGAGACAGAGGAGCGGAGCAGAATCACCACCGCCATCTTCTACTCCATCAGCCTCACACAGCAGGGACTGCAGGGCGTCGAGCTGGGAACTTTCCTCATCAAGCGTGTCCTCAGGGAGCTGCAGGTGAGTGCGGCCTTGCGGGCACAGGCCCAGGCCCGGTGGCCCCCTTTACAAATGCTCAGTCCCACTGGTGCACCCCGCCGTCTGGCACATAATGGGTTCTGCCCGCTCCCTGGGCACAGGAGTACAGAAGGAAGGGAGGAGTAGAACAGTGCCTGCCGCCACTTGGCACTTCCTGGGAGCCACAAGGCTGTGGAGAGAGGCCACCCGGAGCCCAGCTTGTCGCTGAGCGCAAGTGCAGCTGTGGGCTGAGAACGTGAGCCTTGGAGGCAGCCTCGCCCTGGCTGGCGGGGCACACCTGACCGCTTACGTTGTCCCTGCGGCCCCGTTCACGCCCCACTGTCTGGGCCGAGGCCTCACGCCGTGCCTGGCCCTCCTGCACTGCACAGGGCCTCTGGCTCCGCTCGATCCCTCTTCAGGACTTCCCCACAGCCTGGTTGGACCAGCCAGGCACTGTGGCTTGCTGCTGGCCTCACCCCGTCTTGCTGCCTCCAAAGGACGCTTCCTCTGCCGAACAGCAGCAATGCGTGGCTGCTCTGGGCCTAGATTTGAAGCCGTCCCATCAGGCACTTGGGAGAGCTCCCAAGAGGGGGTCAGCTCAGGCAGTGACCAGACCGCTGACCACTGTGCTGCGTCAGCATGGGCACTGCGGTGGAGGACAGCAGAGTGGAGTCCATGCGTCCATGCATCTACTTCCACTCCTAAGCAGTTCTGCCCGAGAGCTCAGCATGCAGTTTCTATGGCCATTCTGCTGCTTTTCCCCCAGAGGTGGTAACAGGCCACCTGTGATTCGTGGGCTTCTTCTTAGTCCTTGTCTGTGCCGGTTGGTGTGCGGGCACGGGGAAGTGAGGGTAAGAAAGGCAATGACGAGGGTGAGCAGGACCCTGGATTCTGGCCTCACCACCGCCCCGCTAGACGGCTCCCTGACCCGGGAGCCACCCTGCAGGGCCACTCCTGCACTCAGCTGTGAGCCAGAGTCCCCCGAGAACCTCAAAGGAACATGGCCCTTCTGCACGAGAGGGTTTGCTGGGTTTATAAACGTAAAAAAGAAGCTGCCCCAAATGTCCAGCAAGAGGGACATGGCTCAGGGAGCCATGATCGCGTTTATATCATGTAAACTGTACGTTATATTTCATTATGACTCTGTCTTTAAAATTGTACTTTTGACTTTTAAATGATACTTAGAAAGTGCTGCTGGTGTAAATCTGTGATGCAGGCTGTGCGAAAGCTGCCTGGCCGTGTAAATGCGTAGAGACCAGAAGGCCTTACTCTTACCAGACTCTTGACGGCAGGTGTCTCACGGTGGCGCAGTACGCTTGTTTCTTTTTCTTCTTTCATAAATTAAAAAAACATATGTATATATAATGAGCACATACTACATTTATAATCATAAAATTTTGGACTTTTAAAAATGATCAAGATCTCTGTACAAATTGAACAGGAATGAGTGAATCACGTGGTCTGGTGGTGAAAGAGCCTTGCCTGCCCCTCCCGTCCCCTCACGGTTGAAGGGGCACCGCCCACACACTTGAGTGGCAAGTATCAGCCCAGACTCTGGCCCACAGAGGCCTCCCAGAGGGCGTGGCGCAGTGGGAAGGTGAGGCCTGTGGTCAGAGATGACCATGGTACAGGGGCCAGCGCTCTGTTTAATTGTAGGCAACTCCCGGCCTCTGTTTCGCCACCGTGAAAATGGCTACAGATGGAGTCAGCACCCTGAAGTCTCATCTTGGGGACTCGGGTGCCTCCAGGCCCTGGCACACACCAGCTTCCTAATACATGTGCCTTGAAAGAAGAAAAGTACGGTAATTCCTGTCACATGTCACTCTGTCAACTCCAGAGCAGTGACGCTAGGCTGAGTTGAGAGGTGTCCCGTGTGGGTTCGAGTCTGCTGAATCTGTGTTTTCTCCGCCTCCCTCTCTCCATCCACCTGCTATGCAGAAAGAGTTTCCTCACCTGGGGGCCTTTTCAAGTCTGTCGCCCATACCTGGATTCACCAAGTGGCTCCTGGGGCTTCTGGGCTCGCAGACAAAGGAGCACGGGCGGAACGAACTGTTCACAGAGTCAGAATGTAAAGAGATCACCGAGGTTGTTGGTGGCCCCATCCATGAGACCCTCAAGGTCCTGCTCAGCAACAGTGAATGGGCACAGTCAGAGAAGCTGGTGCGGGTGCTCCGGGCACCGCTGATGCGGCTCTGTGCTTGGTACCTGTATGGTGAGAAACACCGCGGCTATGCCCTCAACCCCGTGGCCAACTTCCATCTGCAGAATGGAGCCGTGATGTGGCGTCTTAACTGGATGGGCGACAGCAGCCCCAGGGGCCTCACCAGCTCCTGTGGCCTCATGGCCAACTACCGCTACTACCCAGAGGAGACGGGCCCCAACAGCACCACCTACCTGGGCTCCAAGAGCATCAGAGCTTCCGAGCAGGTCCTCAGCCTGGTGGCCCAGTTCCAGAAGAACAGCAAGCTCTAGGCACAGCCGTCCTGCAGCCCAGGGCCCCACACCAGAAGGGCCCCTCTGGGGGAGTGAGGAAAGCCACAGCTGTGCTGTGTCACCTGCTGCAGCAGGGCACTCCTTGAGGCCAGCACGCAGCTATGCTGCTCTGGCAAAGATGTGCCACCCAAAGGAGGTGCCCACCCCCGGGGGTCACTGTGTGCCCCCTAAAGTGCCAGGAAGCCCCATGGCCTCTGTGTCTTGGCACCTGGGGGTGACTGTGGGCCTAAGACAATGTCAGGTGGCCCAGCCGGAACACATCCTCCCTCCAGCTGGCGGGGCGGGCCTCGGCTGTGGCTGCCAGGGCTGCCTCTCTGGGCTGTGCTGCGTTCTGCCAGGGAAAAGCTGAAGCACCTAACTCTACCCAGGCACCTGACTTTGCAGAGCCGCGTGAGTTCAGTCGCTGACCATGGGACGTTGCTGCTGGACACCTGAGTTGAGTTCTGAGCTTTAAAATGACAGTAGTTCAAGTTCATAATGAACTGAATAGTAAAGAACAAGTTTGTTCTGTAAAGCATTAAACATGATTCTTTAACTGTGGTTGTCCTTACGATTAGTCTGTGGGGAGGCGGATCAGCTCGGAGGCGACCGCTGAGCCCTGGGCAGCCCACAGGGATGTGTGGGGCTCTGAGTGGAACAGGAGTGAAGGTGCGGGAGGGTGTGTTGGTGCATGTGCATGTGTCCTTGCGCGTGTGTGCCTGCTGCATCTGCGTGTGTCACTGTCTCAGGCATGCTAGTTCCCTCGCCTTGCTTGCTCCTCGTCTTCCAGATCTATGCTGGCTCCTTCCCGTCCTCTGTGCTGTGACTTGACGGCCTGTTAGTGTGGCGGTGGTCACCAGAATGCTGGCTCTTGCTGAGCCCGCGGGGCAGCAGTGTCGCCCAGGCTCCAGCCCAGCCACGCCTGGCACCCCGGGCTATCTGCCTCCCCTCTCGTCTGCCAGCCCCCAGGCTGCTGCGGCCCAGGTGCTCCCAGGGCCTAGTGTCGCAGTACCCGTCACTGCCCTTGGCTCAGGAGAGGTGCCGCGTCTGCGCCTCGGGGTGGCAGCTGCGCCCTGAAATCACGACTCCGCTCCCTGTTCTACCTCTTCCTAAAGAGAATTCAAAAGCATAAAAGCCAAGAGAAGCAGATTTGTGAAGTTGGGGACTCGTCCCTCCGTTCCCACCGTCATTAGTGGCTGTCTTCCTACAGGCCTTTAGCTGGTGCCCAGCAAAGGCTGGCTGGCTGGCTGGACAACAGGTGGACACACTAGCACCCTTCTCCTGCCTCGGGAAGGAGCTGTGATAAATCACATACGCACCCAAAGCCCCTCGCTGGCTCTTTACCTCCGGCACATATCCAGGAGCCCCAAAGGACAGAAGGTCCCTTGTAGCTTGACACCCCACCGAGCGGTGACCCCCCCGCCCGGTGACTGCACAGCATGTCGTCCATTGCACTGCGACCACCACAGCAGAGCAGAGCTCCTGAGCAGACCGCAGCAGCTGGCCCTGGGGGCAAGGAAATAGCTCCCTAGGTTCCAGCTTCAGTCTGTCCTACAGGCAAGTGCTGCCCAGTGCCCAGGGGACAGCACTGCAAGGGCACCTGTAGCTAAGAGCACAGGTGTTCAGTCTCCCAGACCTGTTTCCACCCACCTGCTCTCCGGGGCACTGGGCAGCCCCTCTGACCACTGCCTCTTCCTCAGCGAAGTGCCCGATAGGTGGTGGCTCTCGGTAGGTGCACGGTAAATTGTCCTTGACTTAGTTTCCACGGTGCCCCAAGTTCAAGGCTAAGACCACAGCCTGCCCCCCATACGGCAGAGCCTGTCTCTGCTTCAGATGGACCCCAGCCCCGTCTATCCCATCCACAAGGCTCAGCCTAGTGCCCCATGGGGGCTCAGATCCGAAGGGTGCTGATGAACTTGGGCTGCACATGCTGTAACAGGGCTTGGCTTCAGCTAGTGCCCGGCTTGAACCCTAGCCTTGCCACTTCGCACCTTTGCTTTGCCAGTTCCTCATCCTTATCTGGGTTACAAGGGGTGCCTCACCCTGCTCGAGGAGACACACGTAAACATTGCCTACGCTCGCTGAGCAGAGCTGTGCTGCCAGTCATTGTAGAGACGCGCGTGTGTACTCATCCCTCAGGCGCCTGCGTGGAGGCTTGCAGAGCTGCCGTCCCTCACTTGGTTACTGGGCTGTTTATGGTTCTCCGGCCTCTGTTGGCAGTGACTGACTCATTCCCGGTCTCCTCTGGGCACTGCATGGCATGCGGCCTGAGGGAGCCCCCAAGTTCTGATAGCTAAGCAGCCCACGCTGCGGAGGGGCCGGGGCCAGGCAGCAGCCCGCTGTCCCAGCTGCCTCCTGTCCCAGTCCTGACCTGCTCAGCAGGGGTCTCCCACGCCCCTCCGTCTGCCTGTCTCTGCCTCTCTCCTCCTCCCTCCTTCACTCGGAGGGTTTTGCTCAGTGAAGAGTTAGCTCTCCCCTCTCACGGCCTTAGGGACCTGATGCTCCTGGGAGAGGGGACTTCCTTCTTATTTCATAGGTGCCTTCAAAGGAAAAGGGAGCCCCTCCACATTTTTGCAACCATTAGCTTGTTCTAGGCTTTGTTTGAATTAAGGGTGAGATACGCTGAAGATTTAAATTGAGTGAACATCTCTTTCCGACTTGGAATGGGGTTTTGAGACACTCACTGGAATCTGAAGTCTGTTTAGAAAGAGAAACTGCCTGGGAATTTCTGTTCACCGCAGAAGGTTCCTGCCTTATTTGCCTTTTAGTAAAATGGACAGAGGTGACCACAGGTCTTTCTCGCCTGGGCTTTTTTACCATTTGCGTCCTTCACCTCACCAAGGAAGGGAGACACCGTTCCTGGGGCTCTGCTCCCGCCGGGTGCCCTCCATGCACACTCCCAGGCTTCCCTTCCTTCCTGACAGGCACTCTGATCCACCCCTTGGCCAGCCCGAAAGGACGTAGCTACAGCCAGGCCCAGAGAGAAGCCCCACAAGGCTGGACCTGCAGCCGCCCACTTCAGCGGAAACAAAGGGGAATGGGGCAGAAAGGCAGCCTGGCTGGGCCGCCTAACCAGCGCTGGGAAGCTTTAGTGCACCGCCATTGTGAACTCAGCAGGACCGTCCCAGGCTGTCACACCTTCTCTAAGTCCTAAGCGGACATAGCGCTTGCTGTCATGGTCAGAACCCTCAGCTGCCAGAGGCGGACCCCAGCCCCAGCTGGTTCAGGGCAAACTGAACATGGGCCCAGAAAATCCAAGGGAAGGCGGAGCAGCCAGGCCGAGGTCCACGCCCAGACACAGCTGAACCACGGGCAGCACAGGAGCCGGGCCTTGGCTCAGTGCCGCCTCATGGAAGCTCAGTCTTCCGGGGCTGCCCTGACTCCTACCCCAGGCTCACTCGGCCAGGTCTGTAAACGAGGAACGGGCTCTGTGGTGGGTGGACCAGAGGCCGGTGTCTCTCGAGCAGCAGCGGGGGTCCGTGTGAAGGAGGGTGCGGGGGTCCCTAGGAGGGAGGGCTGTGAGAGCTTGGGCTGGGCCCCTTGGCAGCATGCGTGACAGATCTGGACTCCCGCCTCGTTCACGCCCCTCACTGTCAGTCTCTGCAGTGCTGGCAGGGGGTGGGGCTGGGCGTGGCTTGGTCCCTGTGTATTAACTGTGCGGGGACTGGGGGAGACCCAGGGGTGGCCTCGAAAAGGCCAGGGCTCCTGCATGAGAGGGACCAGACCTGGGGAGTCGTTCCAGGAAGCCTCTGCACACTATCTCCCTGCCTGGGGAGGCGGCTTGTGACGCCGTCTCTTCTTCCCGGCTCCTGCCGAGGCCCCAGGGACCCAGGGGACTGCCCCAGCCAGCTGCCCACCAGGAAGCGCGGGTCACTGCTCTGCATCCTCCAGGCACCTCCACTGAGGAGCCCTCAGCTCTCCTGGCGCGGCATGGCAGGCCACCCTTCAAGGCTTGTCCAGAATTCCCCTCCCTCCTGGGGCAGTCCTCTGCATCCCGGCCTTCACTGGCTACCTGCACATGGGCATAGAGCCTCCCACCCCGGGTCATGGTGTAGCTCTGTACAGAATCCCTTCACCCCGGGAGTCCGGGTTTGCTGTGTGCAGGCCACACCAGCACAGCCCTGCTGCCACTCGTTCATCGTGCTGGGAGTCGTCTGACTCGCTCAGACCCCACTGCCACCCAGCCCTCACTTGAGGGACAGCAGGCAGCTGCTTAGCGCTGTCAGCTTCTGCCGTGGATAGCTCAGTGCCTATTCTCCTGCTGGGACAGTGGATCCCGGCCCTGCCGGGTCCGCGGTCATCCCAGGCATTATCCGCCCTGTTGCCACTAGCTGGCGCTGCTCGGATCGCCTGCGTCTTCCAGGAGGCAGACCCTAGCGATGAGTGTTTTGGTTTGGTTGTTTGTATTTGTTTTCGGTGATGCTGGGATGGAGCCCAAGACCTTGCACACTAGGCAAGCGCTCCACCGCCCGGAGCTACATCCCCAGCCCCAGTGCTGAGTTCTTAACGGGTGAGGCACCCGCCCAGGCGTTAAACTTGCGCTGAGCTGCTCAGCCAGCTCTTTCTCTCTCAGGGCCCGTAGCAAATCTCAGAACTGCTGCAGGAGCCCAGGGCTACCTGAGCCAGCTTCCCCGGCTTTCCAGAACTCACCCGACTCCTCTGCCCCAGCCAGAGCCCATACTCAGCTCTGCGTCTCCAGGTCACTTCCTGGAGGCTGGAGTATGGGCAGCCCAAGTGCCCACAAGGACCCCCAGGCCCTTCATGGGCCTTGACTCGGTCCACAGGGCCTCTCTCTCTGGTTCAAGCTGAAGCTCAGATCACAATCCAAATCCTGTTCAGTTTAGGAGCCATGGTTCCCAAACATCAGTCCTTTGCTGACCATTGTAATTGTGTGTGTGTGTGTGTGTGTGTGTGTGTCTCTGCACTGGAATTAAACCCAGGCGCTCACATACTTAAGCAAGTACCCTACCACTGAACTATATTCCACCCCCTTTTTAAAATTTTATTTTGAAACATGATCTGAGTTGCCCAGGCTGGCTTCAAACTTGTCATTCTCCTGCCTCAGCCTCCCAGGCAGCTGAGACTACAGGAATGTGCCACTGCACCCAGCTGTCATTGTGATTTTTTTATGTCATGAACAAAATAACTCATTTGTCACTGAATAGAATTAAGGAGTAAAAACTACAGGATAAAAACAAAACAGTATCCATAAATTTTAGTTAGCTATTGTTGCTTTCTCTCAGAAAGGCAGAAGAAAAGGAAGAGATTAATAAATGTCAGGGAGTGTTGAAAGTACTCTCATTTACACCGACACCTGTCAAGCCCAGAGAGCACTGTCGAATATCCTGCTTTGTGCCCTTGAAATATAAGGCCCGGTGAAGGTCACTGGGTCGTGCTGCAGCAGAGTGGGGGACAGGAGCGGGGGCGGAGGCGGCGAGAGCAGAGACATGGGAGCCTCACACAGCAGGAACTCGAGAGAGCCCAGGGACCGGGGATGTGACTTGTGACTTGTCCGAGCCTGCACTTGGTCACCCAGCCAGGTGTCCTGCACAGCCCCACACAAAACAATATTGAGCCAGGCATGGTGAAGCACCCTTGTAACCCCAGCACTCAGGAGGCTGAGGCAGGAGGATCGTTGCGAGTTTGAGACCAGCCTGGACTACATAGTGAGCTCAAGGCCAGCCTGAACTGCATAGTGAGACCCTGTCTCAAAAAGACAAACAAAAACAAAACAAAATTTTCGTATTTGCTTTCCAAGTGAGGTTTTTATTGAGTCAAAGGCTTCTATGGCTGCTCGGTAACAAGTGTGGCCTTCTGGGTGGCCGTGTGGGGATCTCCCCAGCCCCTGTCCAGGCTCACTGCTGCACTAAGGGGGAGCCAAGCTTCCGGGCTGCTCGAGCCCCGACGCTGTGACCCCGTTTCTCCTCTCGCAGTGTCCTGACAATTCTTGGGAGTGTCACCGTCTGCCCCCATGTTTGACCCCACTCCGCTCACTCATCTCCGGGCAGGTCTGGAGTGTCCTGGAGCCGGAGTCAGGCGTGTAAGCCACCCTTTTGTAGCAGGTTCACTGATGACTGTCTTGGAAGAAATTTTCAGGACAAGTTAGTAAGAAGCGTGGAAAGCATGTATTAGAGGTTTAAGGTGCACTTGAGCGTGGGGTGCAGCATTCAGAAAGGAGGTGCCACCCAGTGTGGGACTGGAACACTTCTCTTTAAGGGGTGGAAAAGCCCGGGGAGAGGGGGCCCCCCAAGGCACTAGCCCACTTTATAGTGTCTCCGTGTCTCACTTTCTCCTCCTTTTACTGAAATAGGGATGTTAAGCATTCTTTGGTTTGCTCACCCTGCTCCTTTATCTCGGGGTGAGGCTCTTGCTCCTTCCTTGCTCAGTGAAGCCAGCTGAGGGGCTTGCAGTATCTCTGGAGAATTTGGGGTGCGATGGTTCTGGGAGGGAACTAACATCTACTGTACCCAAAGGAGTGTTGATACGGATGCCTGGCGGGGGCGTGCGGCGGGGTGCTCTGGGTGGTTCCTGAAGTTGCAGTCTTCTGGAAAGGACAGTGTTTAGGTATACCCCGCACCTCGTGGTTACCTATCCCACCTCACTTCTGGGGCTGGGCGGCTCGCCCTTGCTCTGCCTGGGATCTGGAGGCAGCCACGGGGCGGGGGCTGCACAGCAGCCTACGTGCCAGGCCACGTGTGCCGAGGCAGCTCTCAAAAGCGACAGCCGCAGTGCCGCCAGGGAGCCCCCGCCCCGCCTCGGGGTTCCCTGAGTCCCACAGGCTGGCAGCCTCCTGGCCCTCGTCCTTCGGAGGCCGCAGCAGCAGCTCATTTTAACGAGGCTTGTCGGAAGCAGGGGATTCTGGGTCCACCGTGAGCATCTTCAGTGAGGCGGGGAGTCCCCTCCCTTGAGAAGGTGCAGGTGGCGGGGGTCCTGGCTGGGCAGTCCCAGGGAAAGGCCGCTGGAGGCCTGGCTGCAGTGGTGGGGTGATGACTGGGCCCTAGTCTCACTTGCACAAAACCCAGCCTGAACCGCGTAGCGAGACTGTCCAGAGAAAAGAAAGAACTGCGGAGCCTCACGTGTGAGATCCCGACGCGGAACACCCCTCTCCCTGCCCCGCTCTTCTCCCCCAGCTTCCTTCCCGCCCCGCGGACTCTGTCCTTGCCATGCCTGAGAGCACCTGTCACCGCCGCCCCACTGCAGATGTGGCCGTCAGGCCTACGGCATTCGGGTAGTGGCGCTGGCTGGTGATGCACCCCATAGATCACGGGGCCCTGGACTCCGCACAGGCCCCTGACCCCACGCTGAGTCGTCACGTGGGAGGAGAGGGTTGAAACCGGCACACGGCCAGCATGCTGCAGGAGAAAGAACGGGCCTAGGTGAGAAGCAGGAGCCCCCCACTGGGAAGCGGGGACCCCAAGTCCAGGCAGCACTTTCAGCCCTGCTCCCTCGGCACCCGATTTTCTGTGCCCCTCCCTCCATCGTGTGCCCTGACCGTCGGCACCCTCTCGCCCACCCTGCTCAGGCCTGGCTTCCTCCCTGCCGGGATCACCAGGCCCCGGGCCACCCTGGGGTGATGGTGGCCTTGACTGCGCCCTCAGCTGAAGCCTTTGCCGAGACTCGCAGGGAGTCTGTGGGCTTCAGGGCCACCCCCGAGCAGTGTCATTCATCAGTGAACAGCTCCGCGCCCTGGCCCTTGGGGTCTTGATAGGGACCTCCCTGGGTCCTGCCCCAATCCTGTGGCCACCCAGAGGCCCAGCTCCAGCCTCCAGGCTCCCTGCCTGGTGCTCTCTGACTCCCGCCGCCAGCAGGGAGCGCAAGGTGGTGAGATTTGCTAGGGATTGCGGTGCAAACGAGAGTTGCGCTTGCCTCTGAGGGTTCCGCTTGAGCCCTGAGGCACAGAGTGCTGGGAGGATAGAAGCAGCCCTGGCACCTGGGCAGGAGTGGGCTTCCCGCCCCACTGCCCTGCCATGGGGAGGAGGTGGCCAGGCCAGCTTCCTCCGCAGGGCCCGCCCTGCTCCCCACGCTGCACCTGCCTCCTGAAGCCCGTCACTCCCTGCCCCAAGCGTCAGCTGTGTGCCCAGCACCTGGCCCCACGTACCCTGGGAGGAGCCGGGTGGATCAGAGAGGGACACAGTGTCCCTGGGTACGCTCAGAAACACCCCACCCACCCACCCGCCCGCAGCGCCCCACCTACTCGCTGGCTCCCTGTCACCCAGAGTGGGTGGTGCCTTGCCTGCCCCGCCCCCACACACTGAGGCTGGGTTCCAGAATGTGGTCAGCCATGGGAGACACAGACCGCAGGGAACGGCCTGCTTAGCACCCAGCAGCAGGGTGGCTGGCGGCATGCGAGGCCATGGGAGGGAGCAGCTGGAGTGGAGAAGAGTCCAGCCCAGCCAGCTGGCCAGGACCCGGCCTGGGCTGCTTCTCCAGAGTTCAGAGTGGCAGTGACAGTGCAGGAACCTGTGCACAGCTTGCTGCGAGCCCAGGACAATCCCCAGCCAAGCACCAGTCCCAGTCCCAAGAGGCGAGGGCTGGCCTTTGTTATTTCCATCCCCCAGTAGGGAAGCTGAGGCCAGCGCGTTGGAGGCACGTACCTGCCGGGTCACAGCGGGAACGGCCCCTGAGGCTGGGTTTCCAATTGTGCTGCCCCATGAAGCCCCAAGTGCCTCCCCCGTGCCAGCTCTCCAGCCTCCTCCTTCTCCCCCCAGTTCACAACAGGTCGCTGGTGGTTCTCAGATGAGCTTAGCCCTTTCAGCCCCTGGCCTTTGCACATGCTCTTTGTGAGACCCGGAGTGCTTGGCCCCTGTTCTCAGTCTGGTTACCTGTCTCCCTCGAGTCAAGGAAACTCACCCTTCCCATGGCACTCACCAAGCAGGGTCCGAGTGCAGCCCTGGGCCAGAAGCCAGATAGCGGGCAGTCAGGTGAGCAGGCCCAGCAGACCTGCTGCTACCCAAGTCCCCCACTGTCATCCTAACCCGGGCCTAGCCCTCCTGCTCATGAAAATTCATGTGCTCATTGAACCACGCAGTGCAGCCATGGGTGAGCCGCTCCCCTGCCCAGCCCGGGAGAATCATTGCCATTGCGTTCATCTTGCTGCTTATCCCAGGGTCCCCATCGCTTCCTCTGCGACCCCCATCCCAGTCGGGTCAGGCAGAAACCCGGAGCGGCTTCAAAGATAAAGTCCACGCTGGGAGAGCCCAGGGCCGGTGACAAGTGGCACGCCCAGCAGCTCGTTTCTGAGCACCGCGTGCTATCTCCAGGCCTGGTCAGGCCCCTCAAGACCAGGGTTTGAGTCTTCTTGATGCCCTTGTCCCTCCTCTTTGAGCATGTTCTAGGGACAGGTGGCTCTGTAAAGGTGTTGGGCTCGGAACCAAGGGTGGGTCAGTGCCAAATCCAGGAGGACCTCACTGCCCGCGTTCTGCAGCCTGTGCCCTTACTGTGGTACAGAGAGACCCCCACCCTCCAGCTCACCCACCGCCCCAGCTCTAGAGGACAGTTCCCACCCTGCCTACACAATTGCAGTCACCTGGGGAATTTTTTAAATTCCCCTGGCCACACCCCGTTAAGTCAACAGGTTAGGAGATGGCCCCAGTGATTATACTGGGTGATCAGGGGCAAGAGACTTAAGGGGCTGTTGACCCTTTAGCATCAACCGCTGGCCCTGACTCACAGAGTTCCCGGTCTCTAGGCCTTTAAGGGGGACAGTCAGTATTATAAATGTATAACCCGCAGTTCCCCAAGTGTGCTCCAGGGAACTCAAGCTCTACAAGATGCCTGAGAAGCAGGGTGTGCAGTCAGTGGGTTTGGGAAGCACTCTCGTGACACCATCCCCTTGTCCTGGGTCACCAGATGAGCCGGGGAAGGAGAGGGCTAACGTGCACACTGCCAGATGCCGTGAGCTCAGGTTTCTTGTGCAGCAAACTTGGGAGGATGCATGGTGACCCTGGGCCCAGCCAGCAGCCAAACACTTGACGCACCTCAAGCACACCCTGAGCCAGAACACCAGGCCGCTGCCCCCCGGAGAGCCAGACCCCCGGCTTCCCTCCTTCCCACCTGGTTGGGCGTGTGTGGACAAGGTTCAAGGGCAAGCGCCCTACCTCGTCCTTCCCCGAGCAGGGGACGGAGCCAGGCACCCAGTACCTCACGGCCCTGAGCACCCTCCCGCTGCCCACGGACCCCCAGCCCCTGCCTCCCACAGAATAGACACACTCGGGAGCCAGCGGGCCAGGGAGCAGGGCACACAGTGTCTGGGGCTCAGCCTTGCAGGGCTCAGAGCCGGGCAGAGGAGGGGAGAGTAGGACGCCTCGGGCAGGGCACCTTCACAGGGGATGAGCTGGGATCGGGTCTGTGTGCGTCAGCGCTGACCTCATGCCACCTGAGGACAGGTTTCCCTGGGGAAGCCCTGGTTGTCTGGTCACATTAGCCGCACAGCCTTGTCTCCTATCCCGTTTCCCTCCTCTTGGGATGATGGTAGCACATGCCTGCCCATTGCCCTGACTGCTCCCCACCACATGGGCATGGGCCAGAGCCGGCAGTTGGCACACACGCACACATGCACCAGAACCCCTAGAGGTTGTGGGGCACTGGTTGCGGCCTCACCCCAGGGTTTCTGACCCTTGGGCCTGGGTTGCTGATCCATAGGCTGCTGGTCCTGCTGGGCTGGGGCCCCATGTGAGAATTCAGTCAGGAGTGTGCCAAGGTGCCTGCTCCGTGTTGCCACAGCACCAAGCGTGGAGGAGGAGTGGCCAGGCTGTCCTCCCCGGGGCTCAAGGAGACATGCGTGGCCGGAAGGATGGTGTCGCGGAGGGACACAGCAAGGCCCAGGAGGGAGAAGCACTGGTCACGCTGCCTGAGGTCCCCTGGGAGCGGCTGGGCCGGACCATGGCTCGTGTTTCTCACGGATGTCACACATCCTGCACATCAGGGCCGCCTTGCTGAGCACAGGAAGAGAGGGCCTCGTGTGCTCAGAGACCAGGACTTTACAAACAAAGCCCCACCGGGGCTGAGGAAGGAAACAGAACCAGAAGGGACTTCGGGAAGCAAACAGCCAGGTACAGGCTCAGGGCGATGCGGAGCCCAGGGTGGAGGGCTCAGGCCGGGGAGCTGCCGCACTGAGCCAGAGGATCCACGCTGAGAGAAGCAGACTGCAGAGAGGACGTCCTGTGTGACGCCACTTCTGTCAATATCAGGAACAGGCAAAAGGAGCTGGGGGCTCAACACGCAGAAAAGAGGTTTAAAAGACCCCTCGGGGCCCAGGGAAGCCTCCCGCGGGCCTGCGCATGTCCCACATTGACTGCACTGAGGTCACGGGTGTGCACATCTGCACAACTTGGAGCCGCACGTGGAAGATGTGCGCACCTCACTGTGTGGCACCTAAACCTCAGCGTGTGCTCGCCTGGTTGGCCTGTGCATGCCCCGAGCCCCCCGGGGGCCAGCACACACACAGGCTCCGGGCGCAAAGCGGGGAGGAAAGGTCTGCGTGCCCGCCCTGAGCACAGACAGCGCCAGCCCGAGTGGAGGTAGCCGAAGGAGGCTGCTCAGGCCCTTGCAGAGGTCAGCAGCACAAGGTGCTCCGGAGACACCAGCCCATGCAGAGGCTGTCCCCAGGAATGTGAGGGCGGGGCTGTGCTCAGCAGAAAGGACACTGTGTGCAGGCCAGAGGTGACGTGCGCGCAGAGCCTGGGTGCATGCAGTAACTGCACTGGGAACTTCATGGAGACGCCAGGCCGGTGGGAGCGGCTAGGCCAGGCCAGGCCAGAGCACCCTGGGCTCTGCAGACCCAAGCGGAGCACTGGTCAGAGCAGGGTGTGGGAGGAGCGCCCGCTAGCTTGGTACGTGAGAAGAAGACCCAGTGGCAGAGGCACAGGGCCCTCCTTGAGGCTGCTGCAGAGGCCGGGAGGTATGAGGATCCTCCAGGAAGCTGTGTGGCTCCCCTGTGACCAGCAGTTCTGGGTGTTCACCCAGATGCCCAAGCAAAAGCAGACTGGCCACACGACCTCCCACCACTGCGCGAGCACAAGCACAGACGGCTGCCAAGCAAGCAGTGCTCAGCTGCGGAGGAATGCAGCCTCAGAGACTGGTGACCCTCAGAAGCCAGGCACGCGCGAGTCCACCTACGTCCGCACTGAGAACCGGCAAGACTGACCCGTCCGCTCAAAAGTAGGAAGGCTGAGAAGCTGGAGGGGCCCGTCGGGTGTCCTCCTGGAGGGAGGCGGCTGGACACGTGCATCCGCACAAATCACAAGCCTGTGCATTCAGAGGCGGGTGCTTCCTGCAAGTCAGGCGATGCCTCATTTTTAAAATAATGATACAGCAGGCAGGAGATGAAGGGGCCCTGAGGTCGAGGACAGACGGAGGGGCGTGGAGAAAGATGAAGGGCGGGGCTTCGTGCCCTACTCTTCTGGGGAGGAAGGACGCCACAGGGGAGCAGAGCCATGACATCCTCAGCACCCCGACACAGCAGGGAGAAGCCCTGCAGGCGGATTCCAGTCTGGGAGCTGCCAGAGTTCTGGGCTGGACACGACAGGAGAGGCCATGGGAACTGTGGCTGTGGGATGCTCACCTACGGCCAGCACAAAAGTGAGACCAGTGGAATCTCCTGTCTCAGGACCCAGCCAGCCTGCCAGCTTGGCACATGAGCCTTGGGAGCTCAGCACCTGCTCGTGGCATGAATAAATGAATGAACTGTGAATGGATGAGAGGAGGAGGTCAGGACAGACCTCTGGAAAATTATTTTGCCATGGGGCATTTGACACCATATAGATGATCAGCCAGGCTTGGTGGCACACGCCCATAATCCCAGCACTGAGGAGGCTGAGGCGGGAGGATTACAACAAGTTTGATGCCAGCCTAGGCTTCATAGGGCATTCAAGGCCAACCTGGACCACACAGTGAGACT